ATCAGAAATGAGGATTGACAGCTAACCTATTAGTTAGATGTTGTAACCTATTAGTTAGATGTTGTAACCTATTAGTTAGATGTTGTAACCTGTAGACAGATGACCAAGAATAAATGTTATGAACCAACCATAGTTTTATGTGTTACACTCTTCATGGCTAGATTTATCATTTTCTATCCCTTTCTAGGTGTGAACAATGATATTTTCCAGGAACAAGTTCAATTTGATGTCCTATTTTTTATTATTTTAATTTAACAAAGAAAGATAGACTAACACACTTTCTCTCTCTTACAGATAGCTAGAGATTTTAACCCCAACTGGATGATAGCTATAGAAATATTAGATGATGATAATTTTCTTGGGGCTGAAAACTCTTTTAATCTCTTTACTTGTCAGAAAGATGGGTGAGTTATCTTTTAGTTGAATCTTGACAGCCTCTGACATTCTGCATACCAGTTTTAGGATCAGATAGTTCTTCCATTGTCACAAGCAGTAGGTCCTACTAAAGTCAACATGGTGGCTTTGGTAATTGGTTTGCCAAGGTCTTTGATGCAGGCTACAGGGGTTCAACATTGCATAAACTTTCTAGTCTTTTGGATGTTATGAAACAGCTTTCTCAGTTTCAAAGCAAACAAGAAAAGGGGATGATCAATTTGTAAGGCTGTGATGACATAATTATCTGTGTTGCACACATGTCTGTTCTTCACCCTGAAGTGAATTGTATATTTTAGTGCTGCCACTACAGATGAAGAAAGACAACAACTACAGGAAGTGGGTTTATTTCATCTTGGTGAATTCGTTAATATCTTTAGACATGGTAAGGACATTTCTATCTGTTTTCCAAGGGCTTTTGATATAAAATTCTTATTGTTCTTATGAGAACTAAGTGTTTGATAAACAGATGCCAATAGCAATATTTCAGTATTTATATTTGATATGATAGTAGACCAAACATAGCTTATTTTTGGTTTCTTGTTTCTCTAGGTTCACTGGTGATGCAGAATGTAGGAGAGAACATGACACCAATTCAGGGATCTGTATTATATGGTACTATTAATGGTACAATAGGTAAGTTGGTCTATATGTTTCTTGGAAATTGATGATGTTGATTAATCTGTGAATCTGTAATCTAGGCGGCTTAAATACTGGATATTATTGTGATATAGAATAGATAGTATTAAAGGAACTGTAAATATTTTTGTATATAGGGGACACTGATTGTAATTTTCAATTAGATGTCTGTGGTTCTTGCGATTCCACTAAAACTTTGAATCACAGTAAAATATTGACAAACTATCAGATGGACAACCCTTGAATAGAATTGAAAGTCAATATTATTCCTTCTTTTTATTGTTATTTATTATTTTCAGGTTTAGTTGCTCAGTTACCACAAGAGTTCTTCCTGTTTTTACAAGATGTACAACAACGATTAGCTAAAGTTATCAAGAGTGTCGGCAAGATAGAACATTCATTGTATCCTTTATATACTAATGTCACTAATTCTATATTCTCTTTATATTGTTAGAGCCACAGTTGCTTTGTGAGTTAGAATCAGCTTATTAATCTGAAGGTCTAGGGTTCAATCCAGGCATACGTCAAGATATACTTTCAGAACTTTCAACCCAGGTTCCCCTAGATAGTAATGTAGGTAAGAGGTGCTGAAATGGAAAAAGCTTCTAGTTGTTCTGATGGGACAATAAACAGTGTGCTACCGTTGGTTCCATGTAGAACATCAAACTTCAATTCATTTCATTTCAAGAGACAGGTATTACTCTTTGGGCTTTTGGATTATTATGTTTGTACATCAACAAAAGGAAATATATTGAATTAAACTGTACACCCACTTTCCTTGACTCTGAAATAGCTGGAGATCATTTCATACAGAACGTAAAACTGAAGCTTCTACTGGGTTTATTGATGGAGACTTGATAGAAAGTTTTCTAGATTTATCACGAGATAAAATGCAAGAAGTAGTGCAGGGTTTACAGGTATAAGATCCTAGATATCTTTATGTTGCTGTGGCTATATAATACCTATAGCATCCTGGGTTCATTTTATCATTATTCCCGGTATAAAAACTTGGGAGCAATTGAAACTATTCTGTATATAGAGTTCAGATGAAATTCACCAATGATTAATATTTCTAGATTTGGCAAATTCACAAAAAACATATACCCTGGAGAGAAATCTGGCAAATATAGATTTACATAAAAGATACCAGACCAAAGACCATAATTTTGATTTATTTTCTGGGAACCAATCTGTTAGAATGTGAGCAATATATCATATGAAATGGTATTTATTAATGTTTTGTAGATTGATGATGGAAGTGGAATGAAAAGAGAATCCACAGTTGAAGATCTGGTCAAAATGATTGAAGAATTGACACGAATTCACTGAAACTCAACTCAACTCGGAATTTCATTGAATTCTCTAAAACACAGACTGAAATTGCTGGATAATTTATATATCTTGTGCTTTTATTTCTGTAGTTAAATTTGAATGGTTTCTGTTTTCATCAAACAATGGCCAAACACTTAACCATATTATTGGGGAGACAGAAGTTCACTCTTCAATCCTAGTACAATCCTAGATCTAGCCTGTCAGCTCATCATTATCAAGTTCCAAATAAAGTCTAATCAAAAAGACAATGTAAAAAGTGCTAATAAATGTATAATAATGTATATAGGAAATGTAAAATGTGAAAATGACATTAAATGTTGAGAAATTATAGAAGTTTTTGATGTGAATTGATTTATCTTGTAAATTAACTCAAATAAACTTTCGAAAGTTTTCTAATATGTTTTTCTGAGTTTAATGAGTTGGTGACTTACAGGCTGACTCTCTGAACTGGTAGACAGTTTCATGGCAAAAGACTTGAAGAGGAATAGATATTTCAACCCATTTATTCCTGACAGTGCTGCATTTGATAGGGCATTTTCAATGTGAGACACCACATCAATACAATATCCACAGACATGTTGTAAAGCTGGGCCTCCAGCATAATGGGCTAGTAAGAGCATTGCATCTTTTTATGACATATTTCCCTGGTTATGTCCATCAAATGGTGTTCTTTGGCTCAAATGTTGGTTGTCATGTGAACATCTGGTGACCTTGAGTAACTTATCTTTCCTAATTATTCGAGTAGACCCAGCTTTGAAATAGGTAGAGAGAAACAGGTTAAGATCAATGCCACGATCCTTGTGAAGTTCATCATGTCAGTATCGCTATATATATAATATAACTTCTCTCAAGGGGAAATTGAGATCAGATTTCACAGGTTGTTGAAAAATGTCTGGTTGCCAAAAATATTAATAGCCCTGTTGTAAAACTACATGAATGTTCAGACCATCAGAAGAGTGAGCAGGCCATGGGTCACTAGGTTACCAATCAAGAAAATATCTTGTGGTTGAGTTGATCAATGAAACAGAGTGAAATAGAAAATGTTTTATTGACACCATGAAAGATGTTTTTAGATAGATAATAATAATAATAATAATAATAGTTTGACTCTATACAATGGTACAACTCTAAATTATGATTTGAACGAACTTCTTACTTACATACTACAACACACACAACTAATAGAATCAATAAGCTTATCAATATTTCAGTTTATTACTGGTATTTCTTTAACATATTTCACAAGCATTTAACTCATTATTCAGAAAATAGGAAATACTCTAATTATCTGATATATAATTTATTTTCCTTTTTATGATCTATGCATCAAATCCCTATGAATTCTACAAGGAAATGGTTTTGATAATATATAATAATGAAATGCTTGTGATACAATTTCAATAAAACAAAATGCTTTATCACTATTTATAGGCTGAAGAAATTGTGCCCTATACTCGCAAACATACAATACTTTTCCTACTGTCTAATAACAATGTGGAAATCATTTTGTAATTTTTCCCATTGCACAAGAAAGAGAAAGCAGCATTGGGAATCCATTGAGGATAAGCATGCTCGCATTTCAAGCATATACAAATGATTTTTCAAAAAACAAAATCACTCTTCTTGTATGCTTCCAACAAAATAATCTTAGAGTTTGCTTGTAAACAAAAGAAGTCAAGTTGTAATTGAAACATATTATAGAAAATAAAATTTAATTTGGTTTCTACTCAAGATATATTTCACCATGACAGCTAAAACAATGAAACTAGAACGGATGAAAAGTCTAATTGAAGAGAGGGAAGAATCTAAGGCTGGATTTTGTATTACAAGCAACAACAATACCCCTTATTGTATAAATGGACTTGCCACAATATACATAATGATGTGTAAAAATACATGTGCAGATGGGTTTATGACAAGTCAAGGGGTGTCAAGCTGTTAGCAAGTAAAATACATCCAACCTGCGTCGTTGAATCTACTAAGCTTAGGGTATGCGGAAATTAACTTCAATCTATTCACAAGAACACAGATAACAGTTTTTGTGTAAGAGCTTCAATGACGTGCTGGAACTACAGTGTATATGTGTGAGAGACAGGACATTAAAAAGCAGTACAAAATTTCAGCAGGAGGACAAAGTAACAGCCATTCACCATTTAATACATATAAAATAAAGGGAGGGAATCTAGTCTTTATATAATATTTATCTTTAAAAAAATGAAAATATAACATGTATTAGAATTATGAACATCATTATCTATATATATATTTATAATAATCTATTCATGTATTGATGTTGATACAGTCAGCAAGGTAAGGCAAATTTATCTTGAAATGTTTTTATCATCAACAATGTAGAGCATCATACAGATATTCAATAACTGGACACATTTTGTGAATAATTACTTTTTTTATGATGATAACGTGCAAATCTTGATATACCACAATACTTGAATTTAATATTGCTTGAATTTGCATTCAAACAATATTATTTTCCTTAGCAACCAGTTGCTCTTTAAATTGCTTTGATTATCATATCCGAGAAGGCTACAGACTTCGGAAATTTCGCCTTTGCATTGCTTCATGTATCTACATCATGTGTGCATTTCTATCTAAAATATCAAGTGCAGTAAGGTTAAATCTTCATAATACATCATCTACAATTTACTTTAATACAATTCCCAACAGTATTTAGGTTTTTGTGTATGATATTGGCTATGCTGCAGGATGGTTTTGTATTTGCCAGTCACATCTGGTTACAATTTGTCTTACTGTCTACAATTATTTTTTCAAAATAAGCTCAAATATTAAGTGGCACTATAAAGCCCTATATTAAGTTCAGCATCAATCAGAATTTTTTTCAATTTTCCAAAATATTAAATGCATATTTGAAAATATCATAGAAAATCAGAGAAATTTGTACATTCATGTAAAACTGTATACTATTTATAAATTACATTTATACTTAAAATAACAATCACTTCTATAACAAATATAGAGTTTAAATAAAAATAACAGATGAAATTTACTTAAAAAGCTACAAAAACTGGTATAGAGTCAAACACATTTCCTTACTCTGAAAGAAAATCTCCAAGCTTGTCTAATTGGTCTAACTTTGCTCAAAGGGAAAGTAGGAGATTCGGGAATCTAGGAATTATACTTAATCCAAAAATCTAGGTTTGTTTTTATCAGTATGTAGTTTTAATGTCATCCATTATTTTCATCCAAACTTTAATCACTAACAAAATCATTAAACTTTAAAATCATACCATAAGGAAGTTTTTTATTGAAATCTGTGCTATAAGTACTAAGAACCAAAACGATTATCTTCTCCTATATAGTCCTCTAAATATTTGTTTTACCAGCTGATAGAGCTTGATTTCAGCTATCTCTAACATTTCAGCATTAAAATCAGAAGTTCGGTTTTCCTGCATTTCAACAAAAACATGCCAAGAAAGTGAGACGGTTGTCATATCTGGCCATTACACCATTGTACAAAATCGGAGATGACAGCTATATCAACTAATAAAGCAAATAATAGAATGACTTAGTCACTTTTCACAGTATTGGAAAAACCACGGAGTAGCAAAGAAGATTTGATCTAACTAGACACCACTGTAGTCATATTACTATAAATAAATGCAATGAAAATGAGGTTTATTATGCTGTTAAAGCTAATTGGCTAAAAGTTGAAGTAATATTTATATTTTGAAATAATAACTTATGTTAAAACAGAATTCAAGCAGATGCAAAATCAAAATGAAAAAAAAAAAAAGATTTTTGGCTTATTTGATTTACCCGCATGTATAGAAATCAAATGAGATTATTTTGTTTGAATTTAACTCTAAAATACTATATATTGCCATGTTTATGTTTTGATTAGACCTCTGTCAAGAAATATCTTTATGTATTTGGATGTATAAATGGACCAGGCCTCTCAATTAAAAACCAAGGTGTCAAAGCTTAATATAAGTCATTTTTACAATGTCAAGCAATAACAAACATCTTCTACCTTGACTGCAATAGCCATATATTTCTTGTTTCACAGAGAATTATATATGCAGTGATTTGATTGGATTATATGCTAGAGAATACAGTCAATAATAGGCTTCAACCAAAAGTATGCAAACCACAAGGCATATCTATTATAGTCTATCTGTCAAGGGCTCTAGCATTCTGTGATTCAAGTATAGTGACTATTAAGTTAAAGTATAAGACAGAGTTTGTAATAATTTGACATTATGAAGATAAACATAAGTTAGATCAAATAATTCTTCTAATATTCTGTAACCATGAACACAAATCACGTCATTAATTTAAAGTTAATTGTAAACACTACATTATAACAAACAATAACAAAACAATAATATCCCATGGTTAATAAAGAGATTAAATAATATAGTTATAGTAGAGCAAGTAGATAGACTGAGAAAGATTTCATTAAACAATGAATGATGGACACACTGCAGTTACAGTGATTTGAATAGACTAACATTGACCAGGGAGTCGAATTGAAAGAACCAGTTAAAAAAATATTACAATCTAAAACAATGTATCAACAATACATTAACCAGTATTGTTGGTTTAATCAGTCATACTTTATACACCACTGATGTTTCAAACACAAAATGGCTCTTAGTTCTGCAGTATAATAATTGTAAATGAAGACTGAGTTTATCTGGACCCTCAAATATTTAACGTAGAAATATTTTTTAATATATAAATGTTCACTCTTAGGTCTTCTGGTAAGATGATTTCAAAATTAAAAAAAGGGCCCCAGACTCAAATTACCCTAAAATAATGTCAACTTTGTAACATCCTTATTTGTGCAATTTATTTCCTTAGTTTAAGGATTATAATTTATCATGGACGTAAATATCAACTTAGTTCTAACCAAGTGTTGAATTATTCAGCGTATTTAAAAATGACTGATAGACTTTCTTTCAAAGAAATCTTTACAATAAGTAAAGCATGCATGCAAAGAAGGAAGTAAGTTAGAAATAAATTAGATTGAGAGATGAGAGATATAGTCAGAAAGTATATAATTTATCAGGATGATTTCATGACAATATCTTAATTAACCATTCTTAATGAATTTTAGAATAATTATTAATTATTTACAACAATGTAACACTTTAATTAGGACACAAATTAACAACAATCACATAAAAACGTTGATTTCTTAAAAAAAACATCACATATAATATAAAATTATTCCAGCTAGCTTCTAATTGGTTGGATGAATATTGCCGCTAGTTTGTGATTGGTTGATTCGAAAAGATTGGTTTTTCTGGACAACACAGTTGCATCACAGTAATGGCACTACTAATTTATATATTATAATTTACCCATTGTCTTGAGGTTCATATTAAAAGCACTATTTTCAATAACTTATTCTTCATCCTTTTTCCAACAATTCTTTTAAATCTTGAAATATCTACAATGGAAATTACCAAATTTTTCCAAATTAATTGAATTTATATACAAAATAAATAAACCTTTTATCCACAAATTATACAATTCAATATGTTGTAAAGCAGAAATAAGATGTATTTTGAGAGACAACATTGGGCAGATAGCCTTCCAATCTCTCTTTCTTCTGAAATCTTTTGTTAATGTGGTCTTATATCTTAAATGAGTCTTTCTTTTACAAATCTGGTCTTAGGTGAAATGGATTTTATACTTTTAAATTGATAAAATCATATACAAACATATTTCAGATATAAAATCTATCAGATGATTTCGAAAAATTTCTCTCATATTTTCACTCAAAGCAAACTTATACAACAATAAAAATACACAAATAAAACTGATACTTACTTTTAAAACCCAAGCTCTATTTTGTAAACATTGATCTAATATATGTTCATTACTAATATTAGGTTCTCCTTCACGAATTATTCGAATCTGAAATACAACAGGTAATATCAAATCATTGATCACATAAAAACACACTTCCATGTCAGTACTTCTGAATCACTGACAGGGACAGAAATCTCAAGATATCATTTTGAACTACAAATGGAAAAGACTAAAATATGTCAGGTTAGCGAATCTTTCAAATGAATCCATCAATCAACTACTAAAACTAATGCAATATTATCAAAATTATAATTTGAAAATGAGATTGCTTACCTTTGCTAGGCACCTTTGGTAAAGAAGATATTTAAAATGGTAGAGGCTATGGTATAATCCAGCATATTGGGAGGCCAATTTACCAATCATAAATACCTAACAATAGAAAATTGGATAAATAAATTAACTAACAGATGAAAAATAATGAATGAATGAATGAATTAAAATAATGAATGAACAAATCAAAAATAAAATGAACAAATGAATGAATGATTGAAAGCACAAACATTAGTTTACTCAGCCATATTCACTAAATTTCTGTTTCTCATCTATATCTTGTGCTGTTGCAAGATGTTATTGATATAATACATTTAAAAAAAATTGAATTTGTTCTGCTTTACATTTCCTATATTTGATGTAGGTTCAAATACAGTGAACTGATACAACAGGGGCAAGAATTTAGGACTTGAAGTCACATTAATTTTTATATTCTAGGCTACTTACATTAGAAGCTTCTGTGTTTTCTGGTATAGATTTGAGTAAGAATCTATCATAGGGCTGTCCTTGCAAATGAAGTGATTTGACTGTAGGGGGATTAGAATTCTCACATGCCTGTAGAACAGAAAATATTTATATTACATTGCGGTGAAAGACATATATTACAATTATATATTGGATTATATACAGAAAGATTGATTCTTCTTCAAAATATTTAACCACATCTGATATCATTATGACCCAATAAACTCTATTAAAAACCCTCATAATGATTGACCAAAGCTACATGACCTGCATGATAACACATTGATAACTTCCCCATAAAGATAACAAGATCTACATTTCTTAATTAAATAGTATGTCTTTATCTGTGACAATTGAAAGTCAAACCCAAACATTTAATCTCCAGAGACAAACATCAGCCAAGTGAGAAAGTGCTTAGTAGCTTTTTCAGATATCACAGCTTCCCTATGATATAGAGCTCAATTTAACACAGAACTATGCAAAAATGATGAGTTCGATACAACAGTGCAGAAATTATGGTAAATGTCAAGTTAAATAGAATATATTCCACTTCCTTACCTGACAAGATTGTTTTAAATTGGGACGATCTCGTTCTTTTATAGACGGTCTGGATTTTAAACAGTCCTATAAAATAAATACATAAATTAATTACTATTTTTAAATTCAGAATATCCATTGAACAATATGACAAAACCTGATAACTGGTGCCTTTTATCCAACAGATTAGTATGAGTATGAGTATTTTTTAATTCATTTTACTTTCAAGTCTATAAAAAATTCATCCAATCAAATATTCTTTTATGGACATTGCATTGAACTCAATTCAAGAGTAAAAAAATCATAATAAGACATAACATTCAAAACAGAAATATATTAGTACCTTAAAATCTGGTTTCCATTTAATTTTTTTATCAATCTCTTCCAGTTTTCTATCTATAAGTTTATCAACTGTATCTAAAGGTCCCAGGTAAAAATGTTCTGAAAATAAATGTTCAAATTAAATAAATAAAACATTCAGAAAATAAAAGTGAAGGAATTGAGATTCACAAGAATTTAATCAAATAAATATATACAAGAATATTTAAATTCTTATTGCAATTGTTAAAAATTAAGAAATTAATGTAAAATTATATTGTTTCTGCAACTTACATACATGAATATTCCAATGTAAACGAAAATCTAAACAAAGCTGGAAACAAACCTTTAGAATCTTTGATGGCTCGTAAGAAACTGGGTTCAAGAGCCTGACTGAGAAATATTTGTAAATAAACATTGAATGAATCAACTAGTGGGTCTTCTTCATACATATTCTCTAAACTAAAACAAAAATTATATTAAACATTAACAAAATAAACATATCAACTCAATCCTCATATTAGATATAAGTATACCATTATTTGAATACATGGCTCTATCATTAAACAATTGTTGACTCAAGAAGCATCAGACAATGTGCTGTTTACTTCATAGAAATATTTTGAGGAGATGGTTGTATATATTTGCAAGCTTTAATTGATGTCAAAACAATGTCATTAGATGGTTTTTGTCCCAGAAGCCTTTCCATACATCACAGGCTGTAGTGCACAGATAAAACTTCCTTATAAGGAAGACACTGTTTACGTTCCCCCAACATTAGTCTAACAGAAGATATAAGAGAAGTAGAGTAGTTCTAACCTGCCATCAGAGGGTGGTGTTGGTTTATATTCATCTAAAACTTCTACCACTGTTTTATCACTTTTCTCTGTTATCACTTTAACACGAATTGGTATAAACTGGTTCTTCATGATAGGCATCCATCTTGTATACTGTAGGATAGAAATGAAATGAAATGGGGTTTAATGTCGTTCTTTTCTGTACCTGATTTGTCTAACAAAGACAACCAATGCAATGCAGTGTGTTATGATGGAAATTTTAAAAACTGTTATCGAATCTTTACATGCATCAGTATATATGCAATCTGACAGTGTTCTTGGAAAGTATTCCATGTCTCACTAGCGATATCTTTAACAGTTTGTATCGTAGACTGGAAATGACCTGAGAGAAGCCACTGAAATCTTTAATACGATCATAGTGTATAAACAAATCTTACTGTATATTCTGATTTATGTCGTATTGTGCCATCTTCTGGGAAATTTTCAAACTTATGTATCATTCCACCCTGTTCTATCCTCCATATTGGATATGTTTCATAATTATTCAAATCTTTTTTCTCAATGATAAATCTTCCAACCTGAAAATAAACATCATTTCATATCAGTTAACGATGTAATCAAGAGAAAATCACATAAAGTAAGTGGCCTGTGAAAAGTGAAAAAATTTCCAATAACCCTATGTAATTCAAACCTAATTTTTTATAACAGATCTTTACTTCTTCTTCTTGACAAATTTTGTAATCCCTTTGATCTATTCAATATCTGCTACAAACAGATACAATGCTAGAGGGATACCAAATAAAAACTGGGACTAATTCTTTAGACTGCCAACTGGTTTCCCTCTGGTGCATTAAAACTAATTTTAAATCCTGATTAATCCTAAACCAGGCTAGAAAAGAATCAGAATGTTTTGGACCATCTACTGACCTGAAAACATTCCTCCTCACTTTCTGTAGCATTCTCATCTGGTACCCTAGAGTTACTTTTACTTGATTGTGATTTGATTGGTGGTTTTGATTTATGACCTTGGTCTGACCTTGAAGGAATTGTGGGAGCTTCCTGGAAACTGTCACTTGAATAGGATGAATCATGTTTCTTACGGCTCTTATGTGATGAACTTCTCCTGTAAAATAAATTGAATCACACATAAAAAGCGTTTTTATAATTTATTATCAAAGATATGATACTGATATTGTTCTGAAACATTCTGAAATGTTCTTATATACCTCTACATTACTTAGATATATTCTACAAGATAAAAAAAACTTAGATATATCACCGACAACATGTGGTTTTATACTGATTTTGCATCTTTTTATTTGAAATTGATACACTTCCCACCCGGAAATTCTATGTACTCTTCCTGGTGTTGATTATAGGATACAAATAAAATAAAAGCCATAAAACAAAAATCAGTCAAATAGTTGACAAGATGAATTGACATCTGCTTCAGCATGAAACAACATCTGCTTCAAATATAAACTAAATATCAACTATGAAGATTGTATAGATAATGATATCTAGACAAATATTTCATTGTATATTTACTACATATCACAGTATGGTGAAATATTAGATCTCAGACATATAACTAATGATCTAACAGTTTAATCTCATTATGATTCCAAATCAAGAACCAAAAATATATATCAGTATTTGTTACAAGGGTAATATAAGATTTCAGTACAGTAATACCTAGTCTTCAAGGGTGGTATAAGATTTCAGTACAATAATACCTAGTCTAAAAGGGTAATATAAGATTTCAGTACAGTAATACCTAGTCTTCAAGGGTAATATAAGATTTCAGTACAGTAATACCTAGTCTTCAAGGGTAATATAAGATTTCAGTACAGTAATACCTAGTCTTCAAGGGTCATATAAGATTTCGGTACAGTAATACCTAGTCTTCAAGGGTAATATAAGATTTCAGTACAGTAATACCTAGTCTTCAAGGGTAATATAAGATTTCAGTACAGTAATACCTAGTCTTCAAGGGTGGTATAAGATTTCAGTACAGTAATACCTAGTCTTCAAGGGTAATATAAGATTTCAGTACAGTAATACCTAGTCTTCAAGGGTGGTATAAGATTTCGGTACAGTAATACCTAGTCTACAAGGGTAATATAAGATTTCAGTACAGTAATACCTAGTCTACAAGGGTAATATAAGATTTCAGTACAGTAGTACCTAGTCTACAAGGGTAATATAAGACTTCAGTACAGTAATACCTAGTCTTCAAGGGTGGTATAAGATTTCAGTACAGTAATACCTAGTCTTCAAGGGTAATATAAGATTTCAGTACAGTAATACCTAGTCTTCAAGGGTAATATAAGATTTCAGTACAGTAATACCTTGTCTTCAAGGGTAATATAAGATTTCAGTACAGTAATACCTAGTCTACAAGGGTAATATAAGATTTCAGTACAGTAATACCTAGTCTACAAGGGTAATATAAGATTTCGGTACAGTAATATCTAGTCTTCAAAGGTAATATAAGATTTCAGTAGAGTAATACCTAGTCTTCAAGGGTAATATAAGATTTCAGTACAGTAATACCTAGTCTTCAAGGGTAATATAAGACATCAGTACAGTAATACCTAGTCTTCAAGGGAGGTATAAAATTTCCGTACAGTAATACCTAGTCTTCAAGGGTGGTCATAAAACTATGACATTTTGTTTCAATTATTCAAAATTAATTCATAAAGAAATTAAAATTAATAATGAGAATATTGACTTCCTTGATGAAGATAGGTTTAATATGCTGGAATCTAAATGATTAATTATATACAGTCGAGTAACCTTATTTTGTGGAAACCTATTATTCGTGGATTTTCGGAAATGATTAATAATTTACGTGAGCGACCTTGCGCGACCTCCGCATTAGTTTGTTTTGATAAACATGGGTTTTCTGTACAATGTCAGCTAGTAGAATGAATCCAGTAGTTTCAAGCAAGGTAAAATGTATTAATGTATACTTTGACAAATACAAAATGGCGGATTTCACTTATTACCAAACGTCACCATTTTATATCGGCCGAATTTCCTTATAATCCCGAGTGGTAATCGGAATTCCAAGTGTCGTCTGCTAGAATATAATCCAACGAATGAAGTCACGTGATCAACTAGCGGATTCTGTGTCAGCAGAAAATTTCTATGGAACACAAAGTGGACCATATTCTTATGTTGTTTCAGTGACTTTTAGCAATAAATCACGCTTATTTTGTCTTATTTTGTCAGTCACTATTTTTTTTTAAATTGTGGTTCTTTGAAGGAATTGTCACTAGTTATAATGAATTGATATTAAAGATAAATACTAAGAGAAGTTAATTATACCACCCGGTATCCATACAACGTGTTTTTCTAGACTTATTTATAGATCAAACATTGTACACGAAAATGGGTGATGCATCCTGCCGCCGTTCCTGAGTTGGTTGCTCATGAAATATGGGTCAAATTGAAGGATTCATTAAGAAATTCGAAATAAACCAATTTCTATTATTTTGTAGAATATCTGAGGAAACATCTAAGACATAAAAAATTTTTTTCGTTTTTTTAACTTTGACGAAATCCGGTGTTGAATCCTTATATCCACGAAAATAGGTTACACCACTGTATGACTATAAATAAACTTACTGTTTACTGCGACCACTACCACTTCTCTGTCTATCACGTTTCTTTCTTGGTTTAATCTCACCCAAATCTTCACTCTGATCTTTTAAATCCTGAAAAGTGCCAAATACATTTAAGAATTTTTTGGTAAAAGAAGGATAACTACAAAACTCATGTTGGTAAGTCTGAATCAATTCAAGAGTCTAATGGATTTGTAAAATTTGAGATTCACTACAATAAGAGCCATATTAGCCCTATAAAAAATCAGCTTTCAACCCCTATCAACTAGCCTGGCTGAAAGAAGATCTCCTCTAAGGGGTTAATAACTTGGTTCTTAAGGTATGAAATATTCTGATTCTGATAATGTTATGAGCATATAGCTTTTGTTACCACTTAGCAGTTTTGGTACATGCAATTTCAACTCCTTTTATGTCTCCCTTGCCATGTACGCACTGAACACTGTAAGGATATATAAAGATAATTAACTCACCAGAGCAAAAGGTGTCCAGGCAGGATCAGCATCAGAATCATAATCAACAGTTGGCATTGCTCGACCTTTTTTAGCAAAAGGCACATATTCTGGTTCTGAATCTCCTGATACACTTGTATCATCTGTTCCTTCTGTAAATACAACATGAATTTCATAATTTTGTGTAACATTACAGAACATTAACTTATGGTATACTAATCCTGAGTTTATATACAAATATATTCATCATTTTACTTTAACAACACAACTTTATGGTACCGTAACTCTTCTTCTAAAAGTTTTTTTACACACAATGTTTTATCCAGTGAAAATGACAATGTAAGTATCATGGTATGATAGAGATTTGGATGTGATATAAGCATTCTGATCAAAAGGGCTTCCCTCAAAAAAACTAAATCAACTTACTCTTTTTTGTAGAATTCTTCTCAATCGCCTTGTCTTTAGCTTTTCTGGAGATTAATGTTCTTGGTGTATCAACTTCCACATCAACTGGGGCATACGGATCCACAGCAACACTATAGTCTTTACCAAAACTACGTTTCTTAGGTTTGGGGGGCTTCGAAGTTTTAGAGGGGAGGGTTTGAATTAATTTCTTTTTGATCACTAAAGGTGGTACCTTTTTCGTACTTTGTTTTTGTTTTTTCACAGTATATTCAGCACTAAAAGTAGAATCGTTTTCACTATCACTTAAGAGATCATCGACAACTTTGGACATTTTTGAATCACTGTCATCGTCCTCAGAGAAAGAGACACGTGACGATACCTTCGGTTCTGGTTTTCTCACAACTTTAGGCCTTGGCGGTTCCGGAATATATTTTGGTAATTGCGGTTTTTTATGGGGAGCATTGTTCACACTGGACAGAGTTTCTGGTTTTTTACCTTTTACAAAGTTTATGAACGATTCATTGAAGGCATTTTGAGGTCGCGACACTTTAGGTTTTGTTTGAACTGGGGTCGGATTGGGTTGGGTTGTTGGCGGAGGACGAGAAAAGCATGCCAACTCATCATCCATCTCTACAGGTATTGTACAGGTTAACTTTGATTCTTGTGAACGATACTTCTTGGACATATCTTGTTCAAGAAGAGAGGTGAATGTCGATTGGTCAATAGTTCCAAGATGCATCTGATTTGCTACTTCCACTGCAGTCATACCAGGATGCATGCCATAATGGCCACCAGTAAATCCAGAAATGTCCAGCATGTAATTCTCACGATCTACAGCCATTCCACTAGTAAAATTTTCAATATCTGGTTCTGCATGACTATTCAGGTCGTCCAGGAAGGTGGAGCCACTGTAACCATTCACATCAAACTGATTCTGATTATTTGACAGCTCATTCTCAGAAAACATTCCAGAGCCGGCCATCATAGAAGCAGGATCTCCTCGGAACATCCTCTGACTCACTTCATGTGCCTGACGTGACAGCATGTTGGCTTCCATCATTTGATTGACAGGTAGATGTGATTGGGGAGTAGAATTGAGTAATGGAGAAACTCCAGGATGACTTGAATGTGTCGAAATATTCTGAATTTGCTCGGGAGCTGAAGATGTATGCATTGTATTATGGGAACTGTCTTGAACTGATGACATTGAATTATGCCGACTCATTGCGTCCTCCAAAATACTAGGTATCCTGTGCATCGAAGATAACTCTTCTCCAAGGGGTGATCCCAGAATTCCTGGCATTGGTCGTATTGGTGATAAAGGAGTGTCGTTGTTACTCCGTGAATTTGGAGGTTGGGGAAATTGAGGCTGATTAAGGTTACCAGGTGTGCTGCGATTCATTGATGATGCAAACTGCTCTTGAGGCATGTATTGAGGTGTTGACTCGATTTTCTTCTTTTTTGGTTTGCGACTTTTTGGCTTAGTGGTTGAATCTGGTACTGCTTGAATTGGATTTGGTGTTGGCGTGTAAGTTGTACTAGGGATAGAGGTCTGTGGACTATTCATTGAAATAGGAGCTTGTGGACTCCCAACACTGATAGGTGACTGCTGCATTGGACTCGGATTGGATTTCCCATTCTGGATGTTTGAAGACTTCTGCATTGGTATATTTGGTATTGAACCCATATTGGGTAGCGGGCTGTTGACAACAGGGCGATCATTTCTAGAATTGATATGCTGAATCAAGCTGGATTCTTTAGCCATTCTTTTGTTGAGTTTCTCAATGGCTTGCTCGTTCATCATCAAATCTTTCCGACTTGATGATCGAGATTTGTCCAAAGCTGATCCAATGCTTTTCAAGTCTGATAAGGACACTGTGTTGAAGAGTCCAGATGACTGATGAGGTGGAGAATGACTGACAGGGGTTACTGGGCTGACAGGATCATAGTTCATGTCAGGTTGCAGATGAGATGAGTAGTTGTTAGAAGATATGTTGGAATACCCTGTAGAACCATAAATGGGCGTAGAATGGGATGATAGGTCCTCGACTTCTTGACTTCGAGATCGTGGATTACTGGTTGAAATGTATGATGATGAAGAAGATTGGGAGTGACTTGACACTGTGGTTTTCGTAGATTTTGGGGAAAAGAAATCATCTTGAGGAAATGGATTCCTTGAGCTGGCTGATCTGTTGCTGGAACCAGAACTGTGAGCAGGAGGTGGAGCAGGCTGTGACGATTGGGCTGCTGAAAATGGGGGCGAGAGATCAGTGAAGGGCACAAAATTAGACAATCCCCATTTGGATTCCAGGGCATCCTGAACTGCCTGAGAAGATGCAAACGATGCAATCTGTTCCTTTTCACTTGGAAAATATGATGATTTACTACTAGCATTGGGCAATCCAGAAGATGAGGTTGTAGGTGTACCAGCTGAATATCGCGATCCAGTGTATCCAACTCCTGGACTTTCAAACGCAAAAGGTCCAGATGCTGACGTGATAGGCTTATATGGAGATTGTCCAGTAAAATTAGCAGCTTGTAAAGTATTCATGGGGTCGAAAAATTGGGGAACTGTATTATGCACAGGGTGTCCATGGTACGGTCCTGGTAATCCTGCCAATGACCGTGAAGATAATCCAGAATGGGCCGGTATTCCAGCTGTTAATCCTAGCCCTGAAATATACGATATATTTTCATTTCAGTCATACGGAACTGAACATTGATAAAGCCATTACTGATATTTGCTACAATACCATATTCATAGTAAGCTTATATTTCGATTAATACTGAGCTCAGTAATTTTCAGTTCCTATTATAAAGCTTAGAGAGTTTATTATTAGATCACCCATTTAGGTATTTAAATAAAAATGAGCTAATTTCTATAAGAAAGTAATTTCAACATATTAAGATATTTACTTGTAGATTGATAAATAAAAATCTAAATTTTTTAATTTATTTTTATCAGATTTTTCTTACTTCAAAACTTTAACTTTAAAAATGTCTCATTCACATGAAAATTGAAAGCTGCAATCAGACATAAAACTAAAAACAGAGAAATCCATAACTAATCCTTACCTGATGTTATAGTGGCTTGGTCTAGAATAGGAAAATTGAGTCCAGGATGAGAGGTCGGGATCCCACTGGGTCCCAGACGTCCATATCCAGCATTATAATTAGCCCAATGATTGGGATCCATGGCTGATGAGATTAATCTACACTATATGATTTCAAACATTGAGTTGGTTTTTATGTCTTGATATATGTAGATAAAATTTATAAAAATTAACTCAACATCTCCAACTGTAAAATACAACAAAAAAATGGTTATTTATATCAAGGTACAACTATGGCTGAATTCATAATTTGAAAGTCATCCAAATCCAAATAATAATAATTGCAATGAAATATATGATATATGCATACCAGTACATATAAACTAATAATACAAGGACACAACAGCAAATTTCACTTTTCACAAACACATCTCTTAACCATTTAACCAAACCAATAAAAATTAATTAGACAATCAGACAATAACTCTGAGTTTTATCAAAATCCAATCAAAATTGTTGTCTCTATGTCACATTCACAGGTCTAACATAGGCATACCATTCATTAAAATCTAATAGTACGAAACAATAGTATTCTTCCACATACATGTCAATTCTGGTGTATTTAGGTAAAATCAAAGGGAAACAACTAAAATGTGACGTATTAAAAAAACAAGATCAAACCGATCCGAGACCTATCATACTTCATACCAGGTTTCAACAAATCCTATAAAACTGTAGTTCTGATCCCAT